GCCACAATTTCATGGGGATTGAAGAGCCAGCTATTTGTTTCAATCTTTTTATCAACAGCTTAGATGATGGGACTGATCAGACACAGCTAAATGCCTAAATGTGGACATCTGTTCCATTTTAGATTGCCCAGGGTATCCCATCTGGCCTCCAGCTGCTGGGTTGGCAGGGGGCTGCTCTCCTGTGAGCCCCATGTCGTGACTGCCAGAGGCACCAGCTCCTCTTGAGAACCCAAAGTACTGAAGTAGCACCACAACTGTGTTGAGGCAACAAAAAATATCAGCTTCGTGGCCAAACTTGGATGAGGGGTGATGTAAAAATAAAACCCAACGAGATGAAATGTCATAAAGGCAAGTGAGAAGTCAGCACAAGGAGAAATCAAATGCCCAAACTGAAGTGTGGTGAGACAGGTGGCAGCACCATTGCAGAGACTGATCTGGGCATGACAGTGGGTCCTACAAATGGGATGGACAAACGTTGCCCCAGACTCCTACTTAGCAGCAAGAGCTGTGGATCCTCAAGGTATCCCCACATGGGAAGTGCACTGTGAGAAAGACAGAGAAAAAAAGGGAGCTGAAATGAGAGTGATGAGAGGCTGGAAATAGGTTATAGGAGAGAAGATTGGAGAGATTGAGCCAGGCTGTTTTATCTAGAGAAGAGTAAAGCTGACCATGTAAGGATGGTGTGAAACATGTCCCAGGTTGTTCTGAAGCAACATCTCATCTTTGAGTAATTGGAATCACAGAATGGTCTGGGCTGGAAGGGACTTAAAGCTCATCCAGTCCCACCCCCTGCCATGGGCAGGGACACCTTCCACTAGCCCAGGTTGCTCCAAGCCCTGTCCAACCTGGCCTTGGACGCTTCCAGGGATCCAGGGGCAGCCACAGCTTCTCTGGGCAACCTGTGCCAGGGCCTCCCCACCCTCACAGGGCACAGTCTCTTCCTAATTGCCCCCCTCTGCAGCAGAGGAGCTTTGAGTTAGAAATGAGAAGCACACACAGCTCCCAGGGTAACTTTGCACAGGAGCAGGTTTCCCAAGGGGGCAGGAGGAACCCCTTTTTCCATGACCTCAAGCAGCAGATCAATGACTCTGTGAGCTCTTCTTGTTTTGCCAGGACCTGGATCCAGCACTTTGGCCCTTAGAATAACCTGTGGAATGGAGGGAAACACCTGTGCAGCTGGATGCCCATGAATGAATTCCTGCCTGAAGATGTTTGTTCTCAGTTCCAGCCATCACAGCCTTGCACTTGGGCTGCCAGTTCCTAAACAGGAGGATCTCTACAAAAAACCAACAAGGATACCTGGAGAGTAATGGCAGGGAGAGGTATCTGTATGACAGGAGATTAAATAGGTTGGCAAAGAAAGAAGAATTATTATGGTGAGGAAAAGAAAAGCCTGAATTGCCTTAAGAAGTTGTGGAGAATGAACAACTTCATATGAGAATGAACAATTCTCATGTGCTTGCTGTGTTCTGATGTCCTGCTCGTGGCTGTGGAGCAAAGGCTGCCTCAAAGGGGTTTCTCTGGGTGGCCGGACAAATAAACTGAGCCACTGGAGGTGTTGGAGGAGAATGAATTAATATTCAGTGGAGCAAGGGCTTCTCTCCCCGCACCTACCAGGAACAGGCCAGAATGAACAGGGGGCCTTGTCCTCTGGAGCACTTGGTAGGAGGGGATCCATCTCCTGTGGGAGGTGAGTGGGATGGAGGACATCCAGTGTCACCCAGGGGTGTCTGATACTGGGGATGCCTGTCAGGAATGACCTCTGGGGGACTGAGTGTCCCTCAGACAGTGGGTCTGTGCAGGGTAAGCCTCCCAAGGGTACCCTCCTCAAGTCTTCTGCATGAATCTGGGCCTTGGAAAAAGAGCTTCCAGGTCCCAAAGTGCTCTTTTGGATCAGAGAGAGGTTGGAATAGACTGCTCTGCAGGATGTGATAACTCTCCCAGTTATGGAGAGTTGTGTGGAGCCAGAGGAGAATGGAGAAGAGCCAGTGTGGTCTGTCCTGAGTTACCAGCACAGAGCCTGGAGATGGAAAGGGAAATGGAAATGCAAAGGAAGATAAAGCCTGGACTTGTTGCCTGCAGGAGACACAGGACACCTGCAGAGACCCAACACAACCTCAGCCACAAACATGAAATAAGGTCAAAGCCTCTGAAGAAGGACTCCACAGCAAGGGTTCACCCCAGGGCACACTGCACCTGAGGACCCTCCCCTGCTGGGAAAGACCCTGGAGCAGTCCTGCCATTCCCAAGCAGGACAGCTCTGGGCTTCTCCCAGCAGTCAGTCCAGTCCTCTGATCCTCTCCACAGCACAGAGACAAGCCTAGTCCTGAGCTTTCTCCTGATCACAGAGCGGGTTTGGGGGAGGCTGCTCCCACCTCTGCTGTGAAGCAGCTTCACATTCCAGTCGGGAGGAGGGGAAGGAAGGGAAGCATCAGTGAGTCAGGAAGCGTTGGGGAGGAGGGATCAGCACTGTGAGCAGCAGTAGGTGGAGCTGGCTGAAAGTCTTCCAACAAAGAGCTACATTTTCTTTTTATTATGAGAAATATGGTTTTATTAAGATTAAAAAAAGGAATTCTAGAAGAAAGTATTGATCCAGAGAAAATGTCTCAATCACAAAATTAAATTAGTCCAATTTTTAATTTATAAACTCTTATCTCAGTGCAATTCCTAATGCTGGCAATGCTGGGATCCTTCATGGATTTGAACCCATCCCAAATCTCCTCTTTTTATAAAAGATCTTTTTTGGCATTTTATGGAGTGGTGCTTTGCAATTTTGAGCACCATCTAATAAATTGCTCATCAGGGCTTCCATTGAAAATTAATGGCTTCTTCCCCAGCCCACTTGATTTGGGCAAAGAAACTCTGCAAGGATCAGGAAACCTTATTTCCTTTGGCACAGGCCAGCCTGTGCAGTCTGGTTCTGTGCAGAAGTTTCTGTGCTATTCCTCTTCCTCAGACCAGAGAGGCAGGACCTCTGTGACCCTCAGAATCACAGAGTCATAGAATCATTTAGGTTGGAAAAGACCTTCAGAATCACTGAGTCCACCCTGTGCCCCATCCCCATCTTGTCACCCAGCCCAGAGCACTGAGTGCCACATCCAGTCATTCCTGGGACACCTCCAGGGATGGGGACTCCCTCACTTCCTCCACACTCCTCATGCTCTGTCTTCCCTTGATGGGACCCATCAGCTCCCACATTCCTTCAGAGCCCAGCCTTCATTTCAGTGCATTGAATTCTTCCTCTGTTCCTGATTTTGGACTGATGTGGACAAATTGTCATTCCCCTTCCAGACACGCTGACAGTCAGCTGGGTAATAACTCTTTGTACTGATAATTGGGAAGACAAGGTCTCCCCCTTCTTAGTGGTAGCTATTTCTCTGAGACAGCCCCAGTCATTTCCTAATGGCAGGAAGGAACTCCAAGAGCTCACAGTCAGCACTGAGGGTGGCAGAGGCTCATCGTTTAGCACATACATTAATTATGTCACATTAATATCAGCTCTTGGGTAAGGTCCTACACAGTCAGTGTGAATGTTTCCAGGAGCTGCTGTGAACCTGGAGTGGCTTGCATGGTTCAAACACACTTTTATCACACACAATTTGTATTAAATGGTCTTGAGGTATGAACAAAAAACCCCAGAAATAAATGCAAGACTTAAGCCACAGGCACATCCCTCTGGGTTGATCTGCTGCACAGTAAACTGTAGAATTCAACTTTTCTTGCCTGCTTCCCTCTTGCTTCATGAATCTCCAGTACATCCATGGAGGTGTAGGATCTGCAGAATGTGAAGAGAAGGATAAATTCCCTGCTGTGATGATCTCACAGAGAGTAGGGATGTTATGTTGTGTGTGGATTTCTGTGCCCTCCAACTGATGCATTAAAAGTTGGCCTGCAGGTACTGAATCACTAATTGTTCCATGTGCTGGGACACTGGATGAGACCCCACCATTAGGTCCTTGGGCTGGTCCCTGTGCTGGAGATCTTCTTGTCCTAAAGGAGGATCTGCTGCTCTGCAGATGCCCCAGGGCTCCAGGGCCTTTCTGGAGCACTGGATCCACTGCTGAGAGCTCAGGGAAACCTCTGCCATCTCCAGAGCTTGATTGTCTGGGGCAAGCTCAGAAAAAGACCAATCTTGAGCACCCATTCCTGCAGAGAAGGTCCAGATACTTGTTAGGGACCAAGTAGAATCCCAGAATTCCAGAATGGTTTGGGTTTGAAGAGACTTTAAAACCCATCTCGTTCCACCCCCTGTCATGGGCAGGGACACCTTCCAGCAGACCAGGCTGCTGGTGTAGTGGAAGGTTTTTACCAAGTATCTCTCAAGCCCTGACTCACAGATTCACCATCCCAGCCTTGGCAGGACCCCATGAGCAGCATCTCCTGCAAACCCACATCACTCAGGACCTGGGCTTTGGACCTCCAGTGCTCAGTAGAGGTACATTTGTAGAACCTGGGAAGGCATTGATGGCTCCGAGGAGGTGGAGACAAGTTGAAAATGCTACTCAGCCCCTGCACATTAAATGCTGCTGATGGTTTTTTAATTATTATTTTTATACTTCCTCTTTAAAACACTGTCTCAGCCAGGCATGTAAGCTGCCACCCACCTTAAACATATTGAATCCTGCCTCTGTTGTTCCCAGGACTACCCATTCAGCTTCAAACTAATTGATGCCTGCTCAGCCTGCTTGGTGCTTCACAGCCTCAAACGTCACTTCTGCTGCTGCCTAAGAAAAGTTTGCTGGTGACAGACAGGCTCCTGTCTCCTGGAGAGTTTGAGAGCTCTTCTCATGCAGGCGAGAGAACCATGCAATATTTAATTGGTCTTTCTTGGCTTTCTGGATGTTTTCTTAAGGTTCAGCAGAGAATCTCTCAGCTCGGCACCTGCATCCTGTCTCTCCCAGGATCCTCCAGGACAAACTGTCCACCACACAGCTGGATAAACATATCTTGTGGGGTCTGAGCAGTTGGCTCGTAGGTTGGGCACAGAGGGTGACAGTGACTGTGGTGACATCAGACTGTGACCTGTCACTGCTGGGGTTCCACGGGGCTCCATCTTGGGCCCTGTGCTCTCCAACATCTCCAGCAATGACTTGGACACAGCACTGGAAGGGACCCTGAGCAGGTTTGCAGATGACACAAAACTGGGAGGAGCTGCTGAGCCCCTGGAAGGCAGGGAGGGCCTGCAGAGAGACCTGGACAGGTCCAAGGGCTGGGAATCACCAACCATGGGAAGTTCAACAAGAGGAAGGGCCGGATTCTGCCCCTGGGATGGGGCAACCCCAGATGGATGGACAGAGTGGGAATAAGAGGCTGCAAAGCAGAGCCAGAAAGGGCCCTGGGGGTCCTGGTGGTGCCAGTTGTCCCTGAGTCAGTAGTACCCTGGCAGCCAGGAGGGACATCCCTGTCCTGGGGCATCAGGGAGGGGATTGTCCCACTCTGCTCTGCCCTGGGGCAGCCTCACCTCAACATTGGGGTAGTTTGGGGGGACACAATGGAAGGAAGGGATTGAGCCATGGGAGAGTGTCCAAAGGAGACAACAGAGATGGGGAAGGACCTTGATTTGAAGGCGTGTGAGGACACTGAGGGCACTTGGTGTGTTGAGCTGGAGCAGAGGAGATTGAGGGGAGACCTCAGTGCAGTTCCAAGTGCCTGGGCAGGGGCAGAGGAGGGGCAGGGACTGAGCTCTGCTCTGGGGGGACCAGAGACAGCAGCCAGGGAATGGCTGGAGCTGTGTCAGGGCAGGCTCAGGTTGGATCTCAGGCAAAGCTTCTTCCCCCAGAGGCTGGTTGGGCACTGCCCAGGCTCCCCAGGGCAGTGGGCACAGCCCCAAGGCTGCCAGAGCTGCAGGAGGGTTTGGATGATCCTCTGGGGCACAGGGGGTGACTCTTGGGGATGGGTCTGTGCAGGGCCAGGGGCTGGAGTTGATGATCCTTGTGGGTCCCTTCCAGCTCAGTATAATCTGTGATTCTTTAATTCTGAGAACCTGGGGCACCAGCCCCCACAGGATGGCCTTCCTCATAGCACATGGCCTTCACTAAGGTCAGCAAATTGAATGTTTAGATGTCTTTAGGAGTTTGGACAGGATTTTATATGCAGTGTAGTCTTCTTTGCTCCAGATGCATCTTTCCTTCTGTACATCAGTTCTCTTCTCACCTCTCCCACCTCTTTGAATGCTTTTCCTATGAAGGAAGAACCTTCTCAAGCTTCAGGAAAACAGTCATTCTAAGGGAACATTTTGATTTGTTGTAAAAACTCTAATAAAACATGTAGGATTCCCCCCCCCCCCCTTCATAACAGAAGAAAAAGGTGGGTTTGGTTTTGGGGGTTTTTTTTGCTAATGTCAGGGTTGCCAGTCATGGTCTTTGCTCTCCGTTTGCTTTTTGAACAGAAGAATGCTCTGGCAACACCCAAACAATCTTGTTACACCTTCTTACCACCTGCAAACCCCTCCAAGGGCTGCTTTCTGCCCCACTGAGCACCCAGCACTGCCTGCACCCAGGGGCTGGGGGTGGGTTCGGGGCTGTCCCAGGCTCGTGGGGGTCTCTGAAGTGCTCCCAGCTCCTGGAGCAGCTCTGGCCTGGCCTGGGACATGGGGTGATTGCTCTCTGCCAAAACACTGCAAACCACTCTGCATATCAGAGACTGTTCAGGAAATAGAAAGTTGGTTCCAAGCCAAGGTGCAAAGAGGAAGAAAATGTCTGGATTTGGAGAGAAGTGTCAGGTACTAAACACAACCAAACACTTCAGTCACTGCTTGGAATCATCGAGTCATGGAAGGACAGGATGGTTTGGGTGGGAAGGGACTTTGAAGCCCATCCCACCCCTACCACGGGCAGGGACACCTTCCACTAGCCCAGGTTGCTCCAAGCCCCGTCCAACCTGGCCTTGGACACTTCCAGGGATCCAGGGGCAGCCACAGCTTCTCTGGGCAACCTGTGCCAGGGCCTCCCCACCCCCACAGGGAAGGATTCCTTCCCAGTATCTGATCTAAACTCCCTCTTTGTCAGTTTGAAGCCATTGACTTTCTCCTGCTTGAGAAGGATATTGTATTTTAATTGGTGTATTTTCTATTCCATCCAGGGGGTCAGATAGTTTGCACAGCCTGAGGGATGTTGGGCCCTGACTCTTCAGACACACCATTTTCCCTGGGAATTGTCTCTCCCATTGGTGCCTTTACCTGGGGTAGAGCTTGGCATGTTCCAGCTGTGCTCTTGGGTACCCACAGGGAGTACACACATTTCCCTTGGGGTTTCTCACAGATACCCATCTCTGTACTTAATTGAAATGATATATCAGCCTTGGTTTAAAGGCTCGTTGAAAGTAAAAGCCTTGGTTTAAAATAAAGAAGCCTCGGTTCACAAAGATGCCCCAGAAATCCAGTTTCCTGCTGGCCAGCCCCAGGTAGGATTCCTCCTCCTGGATGAGTAGAGAAGCCCTTCACGACAGTTCCAGTGCCACTTTTCATGAAGAACAGGCTTTCAAGGGAGATTTTAAGCCCTCTCAGCTTATAAATATTTCATGGTCCTTTAACAGGTACTGTAACTCTGCAGCCACTTGTGCACATCACGTTTGCCTCGGTGTGAATGAAAGCAGGAGCTGGCAGCTTGCAGGGAGCCAGGTCAGCAGTTTATCCTCAGTGTCTGCACCTCTTGGCCCCACTTCCATCCTCAGATGCCTGAGCTGAGCTTTCAGCATCTTTGCAATGAGGGAATTTCGCTCCAATAAGAAGTACAGCAAACAAAAGCCTTACAAAAGTAAGGAAAAGAGAGGTTTAGTTGAGAGCAGAAGGAATAGTTAATCTGTGCTTTGTCACGAATATTCAGAACCAGTTCCTCAGTTTGCATTACGGAGGAAAAATAGGAACTTTGGGGTGGGGGGGTAATTTATTGATTTATTTTAAATAGCCTTGCCAGGATCTCACAAATGCTCATAACCTGTGTGCTGGGGAAGGGGCTGGAGCAGCAGGAGCAGCTGAGGGAGCTAGGGGGGCTCAGCCTGGAGCAAAGGAGGCTCAGGGGGGACCTTCTGGCTCTGCAACCCCCTGACAGGAGGGGGGAGCCGGGGGGGTCGGGCTCTGCTCCCAGGGAACAAGGGACAGGAGGAGAGGGAACGGCCTCAGGCTGTGCCAGGGGTGGGGGGGTTGGTCGGATATTTGGGAGAAATTCTTCACTGAAATAGTGGTTAAACATTGGAAGGACCTGCCCAGGGCAGAGGTAGAATCACCATCCCTGGAAGTGTTCAAAAAAACCAAGTAGACTGAGCACCTGGGGATATGGTTCAGTGGGCCTGGGGTATTTAATATTTGATGATCTTGGAGGTCTTTCCCAACCTTAATGATTCCATGATTCTACGACTGTGTTTGCTGCTGGAGTTCTGTGGTTCTCCACAGATGAGCTCTTCTGAAAGTAGTGAAATGTACCTGCTGATCCCCTGCAATAACCAGGGGACATCCCCCACCCTCAGCTCCAGGGCAGGAAAAGAACTATTCTAGAAATATGCACTCAGGAGAAGCTGAAGAAGGACTTCAGTAGGGAAAACCTGAAAGGAAAACTGAGCATAGGCTGTAAATCCCCACAGAGGGAAAACATTTCTGAGATCTGGGGCTTCCAGCTTGCTTAATGAAGGCAGTGCCAGATTCAGTCACCAAAGGTGGGAAGTAGAAAAAATCAGAACAGAAATAAGGTGCTGCCTGGGAGCTCTGAGGGAGATCAGTTAATGAAGTGAGAAATCATTCCTTGGTTGCCTGGAGCCCTTGAAGGAAGAGTCAGTCTTTGTGAAACGTGGTCATTGAACCAGACTGGGTGAAATTCTGGTCACTGAACCAAATTCATCCTCCATGATCACTGTGGTCCCTCAAGGTTTCTGCCACCAGGACATCTCCTGCAGGTTGTCTGTGGATGTCTTTGGGAGTCACTGGGCAGGGGGAGCTCATCTGTGCCTTGAACTTCTTCCTTTCCTGCTCTTTCTCCAGATGTGTCAGTCCTTGCATAGACCTTGATGACTCAAAATACCCTTTAATGAACATCCCAGAGTGGTGGTTTGGCAGCTGGATCATCCAGGTGAAGCAGTTGAGATGTGCCTGCACCAGACTGCTCTGGTTTGTCCCCAGCCTGGCCTGGATTGAAGATTTATCACCTCTTTTCCCTTCATTTTCTTCCTTCCTTCCAAATCTGGTGACTGAGACTGGTGGCAGAGCTCCAGAAATGTTTCCTGCTGTCCCAGCAGTGCTGGTCTCCTCACACTGGGAGAGCTCTCTGACCGGCAGAGCCCTTAGGCCTGGCCTGAACTGGAATTATGGCCACTGATGAACTCTGAAATTTCCCAACTAAACAGCAGGATGTGTTGGGATTTGTTGGATGAAGATGAGTAACTCTAGAAGGACATATTCCCTGCTGAACAAATGGACATGGAAGAGAAGGAGCATTCCTGTCGGAATTGGTTCCTTCCAGTACTTAAAGGGTGCTCATAGAAAAAGAGGGAGAGTGACTTTTTACAGGGGCAAATAGTGATAGGACAAGGGGGAATGGTTTTAAACTAGCAGATGAGGGATTTAGATTAAATGTTAGGGAGAAATCCTTCCCTGTGAGGGTGGTGAGGCCCTGGCACAGGTTGCCCGGAGAAGCTGTGGCTGCCCCTGGATCCCTGGAAGTGTCCAAGACCAGGTTGGATGGGGCTTGGAGCAACCTGGGCTAGTGGGAGGTGTCCCTGCCCATGGCAGGGGGTGGAATGAGATGAGTTTTAAGGTCCCTCCCAACCCAAACCATTCCATGATTCTGTGTTTTGTAGCCTTTGGCATTTTTTCCTACAAGTTGTCCCTGTCTTTAGGGACTGATCAGGGAACTGCACTGTTGCACCATGTGATGTTGGTCTCTTGCCTTTGCCTGGGGAGCACAGGCTGATCCAGCAGCATGGATGAGTCCTGCACTGTGTTCAATGATTCAGCTGAGAGCGAGAGAGGTAAAAATGGAATAGGGCAGCTGGCTCAGCTGAGGCTGGAGACAACGAGGGTCATGTTTGTTTGTTGTGTTCTGGAAGGTGTTCTTTCTGAGTAACACCAGCTTGGTTTTTTAGAACTTGCAGGCTCAGCCTTCACCTGAACCTTTAAAACTGCCTCAGAGTATGGGGGATGAACAAAGATGACAGGAATGAAAATGTCAATTCAGTTGTGCAGCAGCTGCATAAGCTTTGGGCAACCCGTGCCAGGGCCTCCTCACCCTCACAGGGAAGGATTCCTTCCCAATATCCCATCTATCCCTGCCCTCTGGCAGTGGGAAGCTATTCCCCCTTGTCCTGTCCCTCCATCCCTTGTCCCCAGTCCCTCTCCAGCTCTCCTGGAGCCCCTTTAGGCCCTGCAAGGGGCTCTCAGCTCTCCCTGGAGCCTTCTCTTCTCCAGGTGAACCCCCCCAGCTCTCCTAGCCTGGCTCCAGAGCTCCAGCCCTCTCCTATGAGTCAGTGGTTGATGGGGAGGTCACAGCCATGACTTCTTCCCCTTCATCTCGTTCTTGTTCTGCCCTTTGCCCTTGGAGAGTTCTACTTTTTTGGTGTTTGTTCTTTTAGGTTCAAATATTAACCAGGTAAGGCACGAGACAAAAAGGGAGAAGGGAGGGAGACCCTCTGAACACCCCACTGGTTCAGGCTGTGCCTCTGTGTGAGAGTTAAATGTGGGTTTGGGCTCGGATCTGATCCTAGATAGTCTGAGAAATTTGGGGCACTGAAGATTAGGGAAGAAAAGATCATCTGTGGTCAGGAAGGCTCCCCAGGGAGAACAGAGTGTCCAGGAGGGAACTTTACATGGCCACCATAAAGGAGGAGAAAGGGAGTCAGTCCTGTGTGGGGAACATGAAAGGACACACAGTACCTGGGGACAGTCTGAACATGGACTAAACATGGCTTGGCAGAGCAAGAAGACGCAAGAGAGGAAGAGTGATGCTCTGGCCCGTTTTACATGGTGACCTCTCCAGGGCTGAGCTTCCCTCTGAGTATTTCTTACTGAGCTTTTTCTCTCTGTTAAACTGGAAAAAGTTAGGAAGTTTAAAATCCCTCTTGTCTTTACAGAGTGGAATAAAACTTTCCCTTCACTACACTTAGATGTGACCCCCTGAACTCAAATCCCCCCTCTCTCTGTGGGTCCAGCAGTGTCACAGTTTCTCCTCAAAGGTCCATGCTTGAGGTTTGAACTCTGTTAGCCAGGCCCTGCTCCTGTTCCACATGGCTTGTTTTCCCAGCAGTATAATTCACAGCTTCAGACACATTAAGTACCAGCTGGGCAGCTCATCTTGTTAGTGGGATTATAGCTGTAATAACATAGAACCCATGGTTAGGAGAAATCTACTGTCTAAATTAATAACAGAAAATTAGCACCTGTCATGAACCTGATTTTTCCAGGCTGGTTCCTGAACTGAGAGGGTTGGCCCTGCATTTTGGCACTGGGGTGAGTTCCCCTTGGTGTAAAGGTGTGAAGAGGCCAGGGGAGCATCTCCTGGTGATGGGGATCTCCTGGTGAGGAAGACCAAGCCCAGCTCCCCAAGGTCCTGGTGTGGACAGCAGGGGATGCTCAGGGTCTGCACAGGGGAGCCCTGAGTGAAAAGAATAAGGATGAAAGATATATGGCCTGGAGGAGGAGAAGGACAAAATGGGTTCCTTCAGGCCCAAATTCAGTTGGAAGCCTGTGAGAAGAGGACAGAGCTGTTCTCCTGCAACATCTTCTGCTGCTTGGAGCCTGAGCTTGTGTTCCTGAGGCAGAAATGGATGGAGGCACCAGGACCAGCTCTGCCCTGCAGTGTGTGGGGCAGCTCTGCCCCCTGAACTCAGGAGTCCACATGACATTCTAGAGATATCCACTCTAGATGTGCCTTGGATGGTATTCATGAAGATGAAGATGTGGATATGGAAGGACAGGAGAACTGAGATAAAACCTCTGCCTTGGTATTTGGACATCCTCCTTCAGCCTGGGAATAGCCAAGCCTTTCCTGGGGGTCAGGCAGCAGTGCAAACCCCTCTCCTGCCAACAGTCTCCCTTCCAGGCTGCCCTGACTCCCTCAGGACATGGATCAGATGCTTCAGTGGGCAATTATCAGCTGCAGCTCACAGGATCCCACACCTTGAAAGAAAGCACCATCCAACACATCCTGTGCTTGATTAGGAACAAATCAATATTTCCTGGACTGGCTGGGGAGTTGTTTTTCCACTGCTCCACTGCTAAAACTGGCTGTGCCTCTCTCATTCTGGTGCAGGACAGGTAAAACCAGCTCACTGCAGAGGTACCTTCACCCACCTGGCAGGACTGGGATGGGTTTGGCCGCAGTGCCCCCATCTGCACAGCCCTGTCCATGCAGGAGGGATGGAGCTGCTTGTCAGAACCCTGCAGGAGCAGTGGGAATCGATCCACCTCACCTAAATCCCATTTCTTATTTAATATTTGTTTAAGTTGAGCAGAACTTAAAGGGAATATAGGAATTGCTAACTCAGAGCTGTGAAAAATCTCTTTAGGAGAGTGAAACACCAGCTGAGAACTGACATAATATCTATATCTCTCTTTCCCCATAGCCAGGGCACTTTGCTGACACGAGTGTTGAATCTCATGAGTGGCAAATGGCTTTTCCTGTCCTTGGGAAAGGGTCTGGTGCAACACAGCAGGAAGCAAGTCCATGTCACAGGACACCAACCCAGTGTTGGTCCTGCTGCCGTACAGGGACCTTGTACAGAACTGCTGATGTACAGGTTCCTGAAATATATTCATTGTGATTTTGGATGGGCAGGAATTCTACAAGACATGTAATTGTGCCTCCTCAGCCCGGGAGGAAAGACTGAGGAAGCTGTTTCGGAGATTTTCAGGAACAAGTTGCCTGGTACCTGTGGCAGTGGAATAAAGCTGTGTCTGCTCTCACTGTTGGCATTATCATAAATAATGCTCTAAGACTGACTGGGCTGGAGGGAGACTCCTGGACCTCCAGAGGGAATCAGGATCAGCTGCAAAGGACAATGTGATCTTTCCTTGACATGTACAAGATTGTTACTGGGTCTGCAAAGAGATGCTTGAGAGCTGCTTCTTCTTCCCATGAAAATTTCTGACAGAAACAAGACAAGCTACTAAATTTAGATTTATTAAATATTTTTCCAATGGGACTGTCTTAAAAAAATTTAAATCCCTAAAAATGCCAAATTGAACATTGTGGGATTTAAAAAGAAATCCTGAGAAAAAGGTCACTGAAATTGGAGGCTTTGAGGGACAAATTTCTTTCTGTGAAAGTCGTAGTTGAATATCTGCCTTGAAGGAAAATTTCTGCCTCGACTGCTAAGTTTCTTCTCCTGGGGTGGATCTGCAGGAGCTACCAGAGGGTCAGAGAGCACGAAGATTTCCGTTTGAGGAGGAGTTGGTTGATGACCCTGAGCCCTCCCTGCAAGGATCGTGTCCTCTGTAATTATTTGGCCTCGCAGCAGGACCTGGGGGGCTCTCGTGCTGCTGGGCAGGACAGGCAAAAGCAGTCAGCACAAACCCCCAATTTTGCAGAGTTTTCTCACACGCACTCTTGTATTTGTTGTTCTCTCTCCTATTTGTTGTTCTCTGCTGTTAAAACCAAGATATTTCTTGTGCACAAGCACAGCTTGGGCTGTTCACTGATGTCCTGGAGGATGCTCCTGGCTGACTCTCCCTGTTGTTCTCCAGGACCTGCTCCCTGCACCCTCTGCCTACACCAGGAAGAAGGGGGATTTTTTTCATACCTTTATACACTCTTGCCTGAAGCTGAATCCCCAAAACAGAGCTAACTACCTAAAACTGGTAATTGGGCCAGAGCTACAGCTGCTGCTTAAGCTCTCTGAGAAGGAGATCTACCCAATTTGAGCTTTCTTCACTAACTGCTGCTTCTCCCCTGATTATAGAATGGGAGTGGGTGGCAAGAGACACCATCTACAGGCAGAAGAGTTGAGAAATCTGAAGAAAGATGGAAAAATAATAATCCAGTGAGGCAGACAAGCTCCAAACAGTCCCCCACAGGCAGATCATGGATTCAGGACCATAGCCAGGCTTGTGCACGTGTACCAGCAAGATAAGGAAGATATTGAGCCATTGGAGAGTGTCCAAAGGAGGGACACAGAGATGGGGAAGGGCCTTGATTTGAAGGCGTGTGAGGACACTGAGGGCACTGGGCGTGTTGAGCTGGAGCAGAGGAGACTGAGGGGAGACCTCAGTGCAGTTCCAAGTGCCTGGGCAGGGGCAGAGGAGGGGCAGGGACTGAGCTCTGCTCTGGGGGGACCAGGGACAGCAGCCAGGGAATGGCTGGAGCTGTGTCAGGGCAGGCTCAGGTTGGATCTCAGGGAAAGCTTCTTCCCCCAGAGGCTGGTTGGGCACTGCCCAGGCTCCCCAGGGCAGTGGGCACAGCCCCAAGGCTGCCAGAGCTCCAGGAGGGTTTGGATGATGCTCTGGGCCACAGGGGGTGACTCTTGGGGCTGGGCCTGTGCAGGGCCAGGGGTTGGACTGGATGATCCTTGTGGGTCCCTTCCAACTCAGCACATTCCAGGATTCTGTGACTCTGGGAACAGCAGAGATGGGGGAGAAATTGTGGCTCAGTGCAGTGCAAAGGGACCTGATCATGAAATGGGATTAGGATTTTAAGCAGAGTCTAGAAGGTGTCTCAGCAGTACAACAGGATGTGCTGCTGAATTAACATCTGGCACCTTCCCTGGGCACGTCCTGCCCGCAGAGCTCAGGGCTTGGCAGGGCACACGGAGCAGGTTTTGCTGGTGGAACTTTCTGGGGAAGCAATCTCCAGTTTCACAGCAAGGGCAGAGACATGAGAATAGTTCATAAACACTATTTTTGGGAGATAACTTCTGGTCATAATCACTGGGTATTGTTGTGTATGGGTTTGCTACAGTATCCCAGCACAGTTCCACAGGAGGGAATTCCCCAGGGACACTGGCAGGTGGTGAATTTTGACCTGACAATCATGGAATGATTAAGGTTTGAAAAGACCTCCAACATCATCAATCCAACCTTTGACCAACACCCGCAGGCCCACTATACCATATCACAAAGTGATATGCTCATTTTCTGAACCCCTCCAGGGATGGTGCCTCCCCTTCTGCCCTGGGCAGCCTGTGCCAGGGCTTACCCACCCTCTCAGTGAAGAATTTTCTCCTAAAATCCAACCTGAACCTCTTCTGGTGCAACTTGAGGCCATTTCTCCTTGTTTAATGTCTTTGTTGATGTCCACAAGTAAATAGCAGGTGGAGCTTGAATAGGGCACAGAATCTCCAGGGAGCAGTAAGAGCAGAGAGGAGGCAGAAATGCTGCACAGGCCATTTAATCACCAGTCACAGCCTCACACAACTAAATGAAAGCTTTTAGGTTTCTGCATAGGCTGAAGTTCACTGAAATACAGGGAGAGGAAAGACATGGGAGGAATAAACACAATGTAATGGGAGCCTTTCATTACGTCCACATGGAGATGTGAGACATTACAATGAGCTGAGGGATAGAAACTAATTTTTAGCCACTCCAAATGAGATTTTCTTGGAGCAAATGATCAGAGATCCCATCAGAAAAGAAGAAATTCTTTATTTAATCCTGAGTATTGAAACAATAGTATTCCAGGTGCAGTCATCAAAGAGTGACTCTGTAATGATGATCATTATACACTTGTATTTGTACAGCTTTGTGGGAGTGAGAGAGCCACCAGTGCAAATCCCCTTTAATAAAGTCCTGCTTTAAAAGGGCATGAAGAAGTAATGACATAAAAATGAGAAATCTTGGGAAGGAAAAGTAAAAAGAGCAGCAAAAAGTGTAAAGTACTTTGGGGTCACATCAACCTATTTAGTTCCAGGATCAGCAGTTGGGGCATATCATCCCCTGAAAAATACATAAACAGGCCTAAAATAGGGAGCACTGGCTAAACCACAGGGTAAAGGGAATTACTAGAGTTAAACAGGAATTATTGTAAAATAGTAAGTAATTTCCAGAAAGAGAAAGATAGAGAAGAGCTCTCATGACTTAAATATGAAACTGTAATTGTCAGTCCAACGAGCTTCTGAGAGACTGAAAATCTGCTGAGGAACTAAAGCTTGAAATAAAAGATTTTTTTTCAAATACATTATAAGGAGACCAGGTAGAAAATTGGGCAATGATGGAGGCTTGAAAGGAGATCTCCAGCAAGACGAGGGTCCCAGCAGAGAGGAAAGGTTATTGCTTTGCCATGGAGAGCTCAGGGAAGTCTTTTTTTCCAGGGGCTGAGCCTGACCAAGCATCAGATCCTGAGGAGGAGGCTTTTAAAGAAATGATAAAAGGCAAGGTAGAAAACGAGCAGGAACAGATGGCAATCACCCAAGAGGTTTAAAGGAATTCAGAGATGAAATTGCTGAACTACTCGATGTGTTGTGCAAAGTATCACTTAAATCAATCCCAATATTACAGTGATGAAAGACAACAAATGAGGAACCAGCTTTTAAGGGAAATTCAGGAGCATCTGGAGAAATACAGACCTGATGAGAGACTGGGAAAACTGGTCAAAAAGAATGTTCAAATAGAAATAAAAAGAAGTCCTGCTTCAATCTTTGAAGGAGTTGATAGGTGTGAAATAAGAGTTAATAAAGGAATTAATAGGTTAATAATAAAGGAGTTTGTGGGTGATAAATCCAGCTGATGTTTTTTGTCTTTCCAAAAATCTTTTGTCAAGTCCCTTCACTAACAAACCTTAAGAATCTGTCCCCAGGAAGGCGAGGTGCCTCTTGTGAATTAGTGACCGTTTCAGAGACATGATGAGCTTTCACAAGGAAGAGAAAATGTTGGTAAAATTTCCCAAAAATATGGCCGTGACCTTGTGCCTTTTTCCTTTTCAAAGGGAATTTTTGGTGTTTTCATAAGGACTGGTTATCAAACTCCCAAAATTTTCAACAACTAAGCTTCTAAGGCAGTCAAACCTAACATTGCACGTGAAAAGCTGAGGGAAGATCTCCCAGTTCTGAACGACTGGGAGGTCAAATGGCAGAATAAGTTCATGGGCAATAAAGGCTGCCACAAATGTAGGTGAAACCAGCCCTGACTATACACACACAGCCCCAGGGTGTGGAGGAGATAGATCTACAGTGGGACAGTGCCATGAAAATGCTCCCAGGTTTATTAGGAAAAATCTGACTCCGTGGCACATCCAAAGCTCCCATGGTGGGGCTGTGCCCCCCTGCCTCCAGGAAGATGCTGCAGAAGTGGGAGAGGCTCAAGCAGAGGGGAGAGGTGACACAGCCTCTGCACAAGAACCAAACAAGGGCAAACTTCCATCATCACCTCTGTTTCAGGGATAAAAAAGCCTTTAAACAAGTTCCTGCTGGAGATTTTCTGGGGGGAATGAGCTGGGAAGACATCCATGTAACTTCAGTTCAGGAAGTCTCTGGCCTGTGGGGTGTGGATCAAAGCAGATCAGCCATGACCATAAAAGCCTCTTCTGGTCATCTGCCTGCACGTTCTTGTTGGTGATATTTAAGGTCCCTTCCAACCCAGGCCACTCTATGATTTTATGATTTATTATGATACAATCATTGAATGATTCAGGTTGGGAAAGGCTTTTAAGATCTTTGAGACAAACTGTTCTCCCAGCATTGCCATGTTCACCACTAAGCCATGTCCCCACGTGTCACACCCCCGTGCTTTAGAACACTTCCAGGGATGGGGACTCCACCTTTGCCCTGGGCAGCAGTTCCAATGTTTGACTCCCCTTACAGTAAAGAATGTTCCCCAGTATCCAACCTGAGCCCCCCCTGGCACAGCTGGAGGCCATTCCCTCTCCTCCTGTCCCTTGTTCCCTGGGAGCAGAGCCCAACTCCCCCCCGGCTTCCCCCTCCTGTCAGGGGGTTGCAGAGCCAGAAGGTCCCCCCTGAGCCTCCTTTTCTCCAGGCTGAGCCCCCCCAGCTCCCTCAGCCCCTCCTGCTGCTCCAGCCCCTTCCCAGCTCCGTTCCCTTCCCTGGACACGCTCCAGATTTGTGAATTTCTGTCCATCATCACTGTCATTAAATTTGTATCATTGGAAATGTAAGGGATGTTAATTGTTTGCTACTTTTCCATGAGGTCACGTTAATGTTTTTGACCCTTTTAGACTCTCTGGAAGCAGGGCCACTGTCACGAAATCTCGATCACCTTGATCACTCTTGTGGTTGAAGTTGGGGCAGTTCCCATGGAAGATTTCCTGCAAGGATGTCATTTTAGGGAACAGCAAGACATGAAAGAAGTCATCCAGACACCATCCCTTTTTGTGAAGGAACATAACTAGAAACTGGATAAACAATTCATATTGTTCCTCATTAGTTCACACTAATCAGTAGAGTGTCTCAAATAAGCATTTAATTAGGAATTAATGTGGCGCCTGTTATAAAATGAAATATTAATTGGAAAAGGAAAGTTTCAAGTTTGTTTAGGTGAAAGAAATCTGCCCACCTCACGCTTAACTTGATTACACAAGTGCTTTCCAATTTCTGAATTGTTTAATGTATACAAGTCATAAGGACCTGACATTTAACAAGGGAACACTGGCAAATTAATGCCATTCAGTGCTAAAAATGCATCTTGACATTTGGTAGCTGGTATGTTAACCAGGGCCTCCTCATCAGAATTGCATGTTTTCCTGTGTGCTAATGAACTGCCCTCTTATCACATTTCAAAAGGATTAGGAAACAATTGGGATTTGATGTGTCACTGAGCAGGGGCAGGGCCTGGAGCTGAGCAGGGGGTGGGACCGTCCGGGCCCCCCCTGGGCAGGGAGGGCTGAGCTGGGGACCCTGAGGGGAGGGGGATTCTGCCCCTCTGCCCCCTCAGCTGAGACCCCCCTGCAGAGCTGCCTCCAGCCCTGGGAACAGCACAGGGAGGACGTGGAGCTGCTGGAGAGAGTCCAGAGGAGGCCCCGGAGATGCTGCCAGGGCTGGAGCCCCTCTGCTCTGGAGCCAGGCTGGGAGAGCTGGAGGGGTTCACCTGGAGAAGAGAAGGCTCCAGGGAGAGCTGAGAGCCCCTTGCAGGGCCTAAAGGGGCTCCAGGAGAGCTGGAGAGGGACTGGGGACAAGGGATGGAGGGACAGGACACAGGGAATGGCTTCCCACTGCCAGAGGGCAGGGATAGATGGGATATCAGGAAGAAATTCTTCCCTATGAGGGTGGTGAGGCCCTGGCACAGGTTGCCCAGAGAGCTGTGGCTGCCCCTGGATCCCTGGAAGTGTCCAAGGCCAGGTTGGATGGGGCTTGGAGCAACCTGGGCTGGTGGAAGGTGCCCCTGCCCATGGCAGGGGGTGGCACTGGATGAGCTTTAAGGCCCCTTCCAACCCAAACCATTCCCTGGGTCCATGATCTCTGCTGGCAGGGGAGGCACTTACAGCTCTGCCTTCTCCCCCCATTATGACCCAACAATTCCCAGGCATTTTGGCCCGAGGAGCAGGATGGGGTTTTCAAGCAGGAGCAGAGCAAGGTGGGTCAGTAGATGGACGTCCCTCTGATGCTCCAGAGGCACCATGAGCTCCAAAGCTGCTGGAGCTGAGCCGTGCTCCGAGCTGAACACAACTATCTCCAAGCTGGAAGTTTCAGGGACTGAAACTTTTATACATTGATGCCGACTGAGTTTGCCAAATGCTTTCAGCCAAGAAGGTAGTAAAAAAGAATTTTTTGAACATGTCAAAACACCTCATTTTCACATTTTCTAGAAGGAAATGTTTTGGGTTGGAAATGAGAAAATGCTCCATTTTGATATTCCCCATGTGACAGCGCTCAGGCTTCTTTCTTTCTGAATGACAGGCTTTTGTTGTTTAAAATTGACACAGATTTTCCCTGATAGTGAACCCTTTACTTTAAAGACTCAGAGTAGAAAAGACAAAATATTCTCTCTTTATTTGAATGAAAGAGTTTGGGTGAGCCCAGAAGGATATTCCAGTAGTTTTCCTTTGCCACTAGCCCCTGAATTCTCTTGTTTTGCCTCAGCAGAAGCAGTTTCCCTCCTCTGCCCCTCCTCTTCATTAGCACTTGCCCAATGTCATCTCAGTATCAGCAGGAAGGGGGAACAATCTGCAGGGAAAGTGGTTCCTTGGGACCATTTATAAGAAATGCTTTTGGAGGAGAGGGATGTGGGGAATATTGGACTCTCCAGCTCTGGGTGGGTGAGCTGATGCAAGAGCCTTTGCTGGGGGCTGTGTTGTACTGAGGAGTAGCTGCAGCAGCCAGGAGAGAGGGTGTTAATCACTGGGAAAAAATAGAGCTGTAAATCCCTCTAACAACCTTTCAGTTCTTATCCCTTTTCTCCTCTAATGTAAGTCCTCTCCCCTCGCAGTTCCATCTCCCCAGGCTCTGTCCTGACCTTCCAGATGTCTCTTCCTCTGCTCTGTTCTTGTTTGTCTCTGGGTTTCCCGGTTTTACAGCAGTAATAGTCCAACCTGTCACTTTTCAGGGTGAATGCTTGGGTACACTTTGTTCTGCTCCCAGCCAAGCTGCAATTTTCCCAACCAGCATTTTCCCTTTGGCTCGTTAGCTGGGCTGTCTCAGCCCCTTATGGCACCACCTGACACCCCCTATGCTGCTTGATTCCCATGACTGAACAGAGCTGATGTTGGATCCATGAAGAACTAAGACACTCTCTGACAACAGTAGCCTTTGGGAGAGGATCACTTGACTCCACATGGGCTTTGGGTACAGCTTTGGGTACAGCTCCATATGCCCTCCAGAGCACTTTTCTCCCTAAGATCTTAGCCAATATTGCAGACCTGCAATGCATCTACAGATCAGATAAACGCCTCAAAAAAGGGGCCAAACCTCGGAAAGTTTGGGGCACAATGCATTAAACCCAGCCCTGGAAGCTGTACAAGGATGTCAGAGCCCAAACTGGACCATCCCACTCAACTAATCCCGACTTGTGCTGACATCTCACAGATCAGCTCACTTAGAATTCTCTCCTTAGGCAGAGCTGGCTCGAGCATCTTCAGCTGACCAAGACTTCTGGTGCTTATTTCTCACATCATTTGTGAGGATGTCACCACCAAATGCCACAAACTGAAGTCTGAGATCACAGCATGTCAGCACCTGCAGCTCTCCTGGCTGGATGTGGAAGCCCAGGGCATATCACGGGTCCAAAATTCAGTGGATTGCCACTCAAAGTAGAAGAATGGTAGGTGAGTGCTAAAAATGATAGTTTGTCACCCAAAGGGAGGAGTTGGCAGGAGGACTCTGACTCCTGTATCCTGACCACCTACACAGACTGAGCCTGACAAAGATGTAAAGCTTTCATTGAAAGAGCATCACGTTCCCCTGGGCTGCTGCAGGACAACCTTGCACGTTGGGGCTGAAACCGGAGTGCTGTGAAGGCTTTGCAAGTTCAGAACCTGCCTCACCTGAGATAAACTGCCCTTGTCCCCAGAATCCCAGGTTTACCACGTTTTATCTGGGTTTGTATCTTTTCCAGCTCATCTGCCCAGCCCTCACTTTTCCCTCAGGATTTGAGTGACATGCCAGTCCTCAGCTGTCCTTCTGCTCAT